ATATATATATATATATATATATATATATATGTGTGTGTGTGTGTGTTATAATATTATATAAAAAAGTCACTAAAGAGTGAAATAAATATTATTAAATAAAGAGTGAATAAATATATATATTATAAAACATGAATTTTTATTAAAAACTATTCTGAACATAAAATTAACTGCTAAAGAATACTTTTAAAATACATGTAACATCTGAGCTCTTTCACAATCATTATTTGAACACATTTTTACTGACATTTCTTGTTATACTTAAGAACTCATTAGAAACTTTTCAGTCACTGTTATTGAAGAAAAAGAGAAATTCATTCCCCTTTTATTGAATTTGGCAAGATCTTTTTAAGAATTCCTTGTGCTATCTGAATTTATATCTAATATATTAATGCCAAATATATAAAATAACCAAACAGTCATCATATACCAGGTGTAGAAGTATGAAACCGGAATTCCCCTATAAATGGTGCCAGCGTTCAGTTTAGTGACCGTAAGACCGCTACTGCCGCGCTATTATATTCTCCTAACAGCTGACGAATATTGTCAACAAACATAACCCCAACTTTCATTCTCTAGTATATTTTTGTATAACCTTAAACATGTCACGTTTCGAGCCTACTAACTATGATTTGCGGACAGCATTGATTTTCTGTTATCATTTAAAGAAAACTGCTGCAGAATCACATCGAATGCTTGTCGAAGCTTACGGTGAATATGCTCTTGGTAAATCTCAGTGTTTCGAGTGGTTTAAAAAATTCAAAAGTGGTGATTTTGACGTGAGGAACGAAGAACTATGAACTATGAACTATGAACTATGAACTGCTGAAACCTGGTCAAACCGTCAATACTAATCGCTACCAACAACAAATGATCGATTTAAATCGAACATTGACTAAAAAACGACCAGAATATGCAAAAAGGCAACACAATGTCATTTTGCTCCATGATAATGCCCCATCACATACAGCAAAACGGGTCAAGGAAACGATCGAGTCGTTCAGTTGGGAATTACTACCGCATGCGGCTTATTCTCCAGACTTGGCTCCGTCCGATTATCACCTGTTCGCATCGCTAGGACACGCTCTCGCTAACCAACGCTTCGATTCGTATGAAAATGTGGAAAAATGGCTAGATAACTGGTTCGCTTCAAAAGATGAAAAGTTTTTTTGGCACGGCATTCATAAACTGCCAGAGAGGTGGGAAAAATGTGTTCAAAACAGTGGAAATTATTTTGAATAAAGTATTATTTATCACTTTCGAACAACAGACGTCTTATTTGTATAAAAAAATTCCGGTTTCATACTTCTACACCTGGTACATGATATAAATACATAATATCAAAATATATAAAATAACTAAACAAGATACAATTTATCCTATGAAGATAATAAAATATGTAAAAATATCTTCATTTATTGTATATAGTATAACCATAAGCCTGCACAACCATATTCTCAAATTACAAAAATTTTGTTTTATAAAAGTTCTTATAATAAATAAGTCTTTTCGTGTTTGTATAAGCATCTTCTTCTCTTATATATATATACATATACAGGGTGTCCGGTAACTCTGGTGATCGAGCAACCGCCGTGTACGGGTAGAATGAGTCAAAGTAACGTATACATGTCGTTTGTTACTCCTCCTCGAAATCAGCTGTTTACTCATCGTTGCTAAGAGATAGCCATTTCTTTTACACACAGAGCCTGTTCTACTGCTTCTCGTGAGCTCATTCGTTTATACATTTTAATTAATTACGGAATAAATATTGAGAAAATTTTCAAACTGGGATATAACTTTTATGATTATTTTTACCTGTTCTACCTGTACACGGGGGTTGCTCAATTAGTTACCAGACACCCTGTATAATAGAATATATATACTAATATAAAAATTACTTGACAAGGTGCTCAATAATAATCAGGTACAGGTGCACATGCTATTTTCACAAAATCTTCGTATTTCACGTATCCATTCAAAGATACATTGGCCTCGCGAAAAATCTGTTCCACTGCAACAGAACAATATTTTAAATATTACGCATAAAATTAGATTAAGTGGCGTTTACAAACCTTCCTTGTTACTCAATTGTTCTCCCCAATGAAGCAACATATGCGCTAATTGGCGAGCTGGAATAGTGTTACTATGTGATGTATCTGCAGCTTGAAAGGCTTTAATGATTTCTTTTGGTAGATCTTCCACATGAGTCTGAAGATGCATAACTTCCAGGAAATCAGCAAAAGACATTTTTCCACCTGGTATCAATAGAGAAATGACATATGTTTATGTAAATTAATAAATATTATAAAAGTAGTTACCTTTATCCTTCATATATTTGTTTAATTCTGCAATAGTTGGACTTAATCCCAAAGATCTCATAATTATAGTAAGTTCATCGAGTGTTCGAATTTGACCGCTTCGTGCAAATAAATAGAAACATTCTCGGAACTCTATAAGGATATTTTGGAATTTGTGAGTCAAATGTACAACATATAATTATAATATCTATTTAATTTATATCTATTTATCATTATTCCCTACATACCATCTATATCTTCTTCCCTGAAATATCGTGCCTGCAAAAATATGGTAAATATTACCAAAATACATAAAAAATAAGGGTAAAACTATAAATTAAAAATACTTGTTGTGTAAAGAAAAAAATTAAATACAAAATATCAGAAGTATAAGCAACACACAGAAGTATAAGTAAAACTTTTTAATTTTATAACCTTTTAATGAAATTTCAATTTGTTAATATAATCAAAATATGTATCAAGATTACCATGGTTAATCAGTTTTATGAGGGTCCTGTTCACTTTTAAAATACTTTTGTCTTTATTTATTTTTTTACAACTTTAACATGACAAGCATATGGCACATCACAATGGAACTGTAATCTCACTTTCTCTCTCTCACTCTTTCTCTCTCTCTCTCTCTCTCTCTCTTTCTCAATAGATGGCTCTGAGCGTCAACCTCACTTCCTTGTAGGGACGCTCTCTCTCTCTCTCTCTCTCTCTCTCTCTCTCTCTCTCTCTCTCTCTCTCTCT